CAGAGATGTAGGTATATACGTGGCATACTTACAACTTTTACTTACAACTTTTTGACTCGTCGTATTTCAGAAACGGTGGCTCTAAGAAAAAAAGTATTAATACATTTTTTGTAGAGAATTTTATGATCTACAATTTTCATCTGGGGTCATTTTATGATAAAACTTACCGTTTTCCTGACCTTTGACCTCGAATAATTTTTTTCCAGGCATCGCAATCATTTGGAATTTCAAAATCTTATGTTTAACTATGTTTTGAACAATTACACGCATTTGAAGCTTGTTGTAAATTTATGTACCTTCAATCTTATTTTTTAGTCTAATTTGACCAACCTTTTTTTATTGTATTTCAACGACTCATTGAAAAAAAACAAACATCCAAAATATTGCTTTGCTGATAACAGCGCACTTGACCCGTCGTTCCATTTGGATTCCAGGACATTAGCCACGGAATCACTAGAAGTGATTTCGAATTGAGGTGAAAGTAACCAGGTTCAATTCAATGCAACAAAAAACCAGGTATCGGTTTTCATCAAGAAGATAAATGTCTCTGAACTGATTATAATAATATCAGGTCAGACAATTCTGCTTTCTGCTTGGATAAGTTTGTTTAGGGTTAAAATGGACACCAATATTGGATTCCAGGACATCAGCTGCGGATACACATATTCACCGGCAGCAGGATGTTGCATCAGTATCATGTCACTAGAATTGCAAAGGCTGCTTCTCAAAAGCTTGATACACTGTTCCGAACTAGGAAACTGTACACACCTCAGCAACTTTTAAAGCTTTATATAGCTCCTAAGCAACTCTGAAACTGCTGGATTCAGCGATTCAAATCCAACATGAATCGCTACTTCCGCACAGGCACCGCTCGTAGAGCGCCTTACGGCTTTTTCTGTAGTGCTTATGTTTTGTGCTTAGAGGGAAAGGAAAAGCTGAGTATCAAAGAGCTCTTACATTACAACGTGCACACGTGAAAATCGATCGTCTGACCTCGTGGCTCGAACCACCGTTCTACATGGCGATCGATTGGAAGAGTGGAACGAACTACTCATGTCAACCCAATCGGCTACCGTCTTACCTGCATGTGTCTCGCTATACAATAATTTAGAAACATTTTATGCAATAGGGGAGATCCTTGTACCTTGGGACACCATGTACCTCGGGACAACTTCATAATCATTACAAAATTTTGTCCGAGAATTGCCTCCAGCAACATCTAGCGGTCATTTGAAACAACAATTCTATTGCACTCAACAAAGTCGGCCATTTTGACTCGTCACGTCATTGCGGTGCGTTTTTTTTTCATATGCGTAATAATTGTTGCGTTTCCTGAAAATGTTAAAAGTAAGTAATCTGATATGAGTATAATTAGGTGACAACTACATTTGTAATTACTTATTTAGCAGTTAAATACTGGATTTTCGATTGAAAAATTTAACCACACTTTTCTGCAAAACAAACGAAATTCGTACCTTGGGACAGTTATATTTTTTACCTTGGGACTGTCCCTAGGTACAAACATTTGATATTTTTTATAGCCTACTCTAGTTCACTTATGATTATTCTTTTTACTGTTATTTTAAATGCCTCGGAGTAAAAATAACCTTACTAGACTCCAACTAATTGCAGAAAATGTTAAAAATGCCGTTAAAAAGGTGATCGAAAAACGATGTTCTATCCACAAAGCTGCCGAAGAGTTTATTAAAGTTTCGACATCTTTAATAGGTCTTAAAGCTGAATAAAGAAAACGAAACTACAACTGTCATTTATAAACCTAATAATGCTGTGAAGAGAGTCTTCAATGATGAAGAGGAAGAGTAATAAGTCGAGTATTGTTTAACAGTATCTAAATTTCATTATGGCATACCTGAAGAGCAATTCTTGAAACTAGCATTTCAGTATGCAGTAGCTTTGAAGAAAACGTGAGAAAACAAGAGTATTAACCGATACTCCTGAAAAACTGGAATTGGAGCAGTTGGCTGCAAAGAAAAGGAAAAATGCATTACAAAAAAAATATGAAGACTGTAAAAAAGAGACTTTTCAAGAAAAAAATTCAATATTCTAGTTCAGAGGAAGTCACTAATGTGATTTTAGACGATCCATGTGATGATGATCAAGAGGAAAATAATTGTGTCGGATGTGGAGAAAATTATTTTGTTACCTCACGTGAAGAAGACTGGATTCAATGTGTTACTTGTCGCTTTTGGGTGTACGAAGATTGCACCAGTTTTGATAATTATTGTCAAAAATGTGGTCCAAAGTCCAAAAAATAGTCTCGATCTGCCTTAGTTCGTAAATTGGTTGTTAATTAGTGGTGATAACCAAAGTTCCAAAGGATAACTGTTGTTTTCAAACTGAATCAGGTATATGTGAAATCTATATTCTTACTATTTTTTAAGAGGAAGTGATTATAAATAAATGCTATTAAAAAAACTAGGCTTTTTATTACTTATGCTCTCTAAGAGTTGATTTTTCAGTTGTCACTTTTTTATCTGACAAATAAACATATATGGGTCATATTTTTACGGCTCATTACAATGTATTTTGTTTTTAAATTCCAATAAAAATCCTGAAGATATTTGTCCCAAGGTACAAATATCGGTGTCCCAAAGTACAAGCCTCACTTTGTACCTTGGGACATAAAACCCAATCAGTTTTTTTTTTAAATTTTCTCACAAATAAATAATCGTGTGTATTTTCCTAGCATTAGAGTATTTTGATGATCATATTATTACACGGTATTAAAAAAATCAATTCTTTAAGTCAGTTCTTGCTCAGATTATAAAGTAAAGTACAAGGATCTCCCCTATGTGTGTCACATGTGATGTTTCACGAAGGTCAAACTGAAACAACATTTGAAGCACACATAGAAACAGTTTTCAAAAAGGAAAAATGATTTTAATGGGTACGAATTCAATCACATATTTGAAACTCGTCATTATTAGAAGAGAGATTTGAAACTCAACCTTCTGAAAATTATGACTGGCTTGATTGTTTAAAGTTCATTTCTTTAGATTTGGTATGAAAATCACAAAATTCCTAATATAAATTGATGCATGTAGCCGTTGATATATAGTAATAGATCATCATGCAAAAGATGATCTAACACCAAAACTGCAGTTTTGTCCTTTGAAGCACATAATCATAATAAATTTGAGTTCATCGCGACAGTCATAAATTAGCAGCATACAATTCAATATTGTAGGTACAGAATATTCTCGTGCTAACAATCTAGAAAGGGAAATTGAAACAATTATACAGATAGAACATAATAATTGTTTCAACGAGGTTTACTGTATTGATTGAAAATGTCCTTATAGGGCGAAACTGCAATAACAGTTACAAATACATGTGGTAAAAAACAGAAAGTTTCATAAATTCCCAATATCTACTGAACGATCAATTCAATTTCAAAACTTTCTTATTCGATTTCCACTATTAAAGGTTTACAAAACCGTAACAAGTGTTTTGCTCATGCAGGATTTGTACTTTTATTTTTAGTTCAAATTATTTTATATTCTTAAAACATCACCATGGTCTACGATACGATCAGATAATCAGTTCTGATATAGTTTCAACTACCCGAAAAGAGCGGATACAATCATTATATCAGCTAGTGAAAGCAGGTAGACACAATCGAAAAAAGGTAAAAATACGCAGGCAGTAGTAAAAATTATGTGAAAAACAAGTCATTAAATCAATCATATTACATAATAATTATTCCAGAGGCATTAAGCATGATTACCTGATAAGAACATGTTAAGTAACGAGGAGCTATCCAAGTCGAATCAATCGTTCATTAAATATTGGGAATTTCTGAACCTACATTCCAGAAGGTAAACTTTCATACCTGTCCTCTGTGAATGGAGATGCATGATTGTACCCGTGTCTCTATGTGTAAAGATGAGCAGCAAACATTGAATTAATTTTTCCATTCTAGAAACTGTTTATATGTTCTTTAATGCATGTTCAATGTTCTCCCAGTTTGACCTATATACCACATCCGACTTGAATCACGGGGCAATTTGTACACTCCTGATATATCTGACTCCAAACTCTTGGTTGCACTCTTATTTTCAATATGCATGCTCAAATTATTATTAGTTTTCAACACTGTATTCACAACTTAATTCTTTGGAAATTAGAAATCTTCTATATGTCGTTCTTTCGGCAATGTTTATTGCCTTCTTCAGGAGAACTGTAATATGATGAATGAAAGATGGATTTGTATGAAAACAGAAAAAAATAAGTGAACTGAAATAATGGAACTGACTTTGACATATTTTTGAGATCTGTTCTTCGTTTTTAATCTCAACCATTTAAAAAAATTATCTTTTTGAAAGATTTTTTTCTGTATGTGAACTTTTAGTATAACTATAATCCACCTACCAAGGCACATGATTTAACATTTCTCCTACAATTACTCTTATGAGAGATAATGCAACCATTTAATATTCTAGATGTCTGACCAAGATATGACTTTCCATGAATTTGACAAGGAGTTTTCATTACACTATGTGAATTTTATATCAAAGAATGTATATTTTCACGGCAGGAGGTAACTGTGTGGAAGCTATTTTTCGGGTTTTTTAGCCGTGCTCTGTATGTTGTCATGCCTGACGATTCGTCTACTACTGCGGACATTATTAAAGGCGATGTGGTAACAGTCGCAGTGTAATTTGTGGTGAGATAGGTGTCATTTGAACTGCTAAATAATAATTTTTCAACTAAATTGGTTGGATGAGAATTCTCCAAAAGTATTTGTTTGAATTCTACAATAACTTCCTAATATAAATTTGGATGTAAAAGTCTATTAATTCTACTTTTGAGAGATATGAACGTATTAATTTTCATTGAATGGTATGAATGATTATTGATAAGACTATTAATAGTGGCTTACGACCTAAATTTATATATTTCATCAATTTGCATAATTTTCATTTGATATAATTTGATTTAATGATGATCTAAAGAGTATTTTAGGAATGAATAAAAACTTCAGAATCTTAACATTTATTAGTAAAGAAAACGAATCATACTGGTGTAATCGTTCTATCTACGGCCCTAAAAGTAATTCTTTCTAAAATTGATGAGCAGATGTCAATATGACACCTGAATCCAGTGAATTTCTAGAATTCAAATCCACCCGGTACGTATTTTTCCAGTCAGTTTCGATTTGGAAGATGGATTTGTTTGTCTCTCATTATTCGATGACGAATGCGACACATCAGTTTTCTTTTCGACATTCTCGTTATCTACTTCGTTTTCATTATCGATTGGAGTGTTGATATTCGCTAACGATGTTTGAGTAATGCTAGATTTCTCCTCAAACTCATCGTTTGCTTGCTGGGTGTCTTGGCCAGCCGTCGATTGTTCTGAATCCAGGCTGTCGTGTTTTTCACTATCCTGTCTTTCTATTGCGTTTTCGGTATCCTGTCTTTCTGTTGAGTTTTCGGTATCCAGACCCTCTTGTTTATATGGATGACTTTCTAGATCTCTGAAGACTGGTGTTGCTGAACGAGAAGTTGCTGAAAAAGGGGTGAGGTTTCAATATGATAAGGAGTAATTAACTGGTTCTTATTACCATTCGCAGAAATCAAAGGTTGATAATTAACTGAATATATACATTCATTATTATTTTATTTTACGAGTTTATTTTTGAAATAAGTGAAGAGTTTGGTAATTGGGTCTTTAACAAATTGAATAGAACTGGCCGATACTGGGTCTTCATCAAGAATAACATATCTGAAAATACCTTTCTTACGTTAATGGAGTATGATCTTTAGATATACAGTGTGTCCAAGATAAGGATCCTAAGCTTGGGAATCTCAGTACCTGTTGGAGATACAGCTTAGGTTAAATTAGGAAAAAGTTGTGTTCTTTAAAGTTTATTTACATGCCGTTTAGAAACTTGAAGAATTTTCATGGCCTGCTGAGATATTTGGGAAAAACGAGAATTTGACAATATCAATTTTATTTTTTCTGACTTTATTTGAAAAGATATCAAAAAACGAATAACACTTTTTCATTGGCACTTTTAAGGTACTACACGATGGTATTTTTTGATTTTATATCCGACGTTTCGTTTTCAAGAAACCATCATCAACTTTATTTTTTTATATGACCCGAAACAAAAGGACACCCTGTATCTGATTCCATTTTTCATTACAAATTCAACGATGTATCACATGCCATTGTTTTCTTTTTAGTTTAAAGGAAAATTACATTTTTTCTATTTTCAAAAAAATCTTTAAGTAGGCGTTGCAAACAAATGCTTTGACGTAAATACCTGTCACCGAGACTGTCAAATATTATTGAATTACACGATAAAATAGTAATTGTCGTTGTTGTTAGCCTGTTTGTCGAGTTGTTGTTTTTAGAGTTATTGTTACTGTTGTCGTTAAAGTGCCAATGAAAAAGTGTTATTCGTTTTTTGATATCTTTTCAAATAAAGTCAGAAAAAAATAAAATTGATATTGTCAAATTCTCGTTTTTCCCAAATATCTCAGCAGGCCATGAAAATTCATCAAGTTTCTAAACGGCATGTAAATAAGCTTTAAAGAACACAATTTTTTCCTAATTTAACCTAAGCTGTATCTCCAACAGGTACTGAGATTCCCATGCTTAGGATCCTTATCTTGGACACTGTGTATAGATAGATAGACATTTATTGATCATACATCAATTTACAATGGATTGTTAAGTCAAAAACAGAACAATGTTAAAATGATAAAACAATAAAAACATTTTCAAACCAAGCAACACTGAAATTACGTAGTACACAGTACATTGTTCATTGACAGTCCGAAATGAATTCTGAAATACTATAATATACCCTAGATAACAGATAACATTTCAATTTTATTTTGAATCTGAACAGTTTAAGCTCATTCTTCAAGTCATCATGTAGCATGTTAAAAAAGTTTGCCGCAGCATATTTTGGAGAGTTTTCATAAGTCGAGTAGTTGGCAATTTCCAATCTGAAGGTTTTTTGACAGGTTGGGCGGACACCTTCATTTTGAATAAAATGGTTTTTATGAATGCAGGCAAATAATAATAATTTATACAAATAGATACTCGTGAATGTTATCATTCTCTTTTCTTTGGAAACATCTCTGCAAGATTCTCGAAAACCCAACTGGAATATCAATCGTATGATTCTTTCCTGTGCTATGAAGATCTGCTGCTGACAGTAGCGGGACCATAAACTATAATATTATGACTAATTGACTAATAGAAGGATATACCAATGCATAGTAAACGCTCATGAGACCTCCTTCATTTAAACAGCTCTTTAAATTTCTTAACGCAAAGAAGTGCTTATTCAAGGTGGAACATAGTGACAATGCATTTGTCCCTTTTGAGGTTTTCGTCGACGATTGTACCCAAAAACTTGGAGCTACTCTGAAATGTGATTGATGAACTGTTTATACACAGGTTTTCACGGATGGCTCTTCCCATAGTCTATATGTGGAATTGAAAAGTAACAGTCTTCGAGTAGTTTATTATCAAATTGTTCTTCAGACACCACTGGTCGCATTGATTCAATACGTTTTTGTTTTAGCTACTAGTTCACCTCTGTTAGGGCCAGATATCAAAGCTGAGAAATTATCTGCAAACATGTAAACCTTTCCATCTTTCACATGTTCGGGAAGGTCATTTATAAATAACAAAAAAATCAGTGGACCCAGGACGATACCCTGAGGGACTCCTGAGTCCACTGAGAATTTATCGGATGTTTTATCATTCCCTCTAACTATCAGTTTCCTCCCTTCTAGGAATGAACGGAAGCAGTCCTCAATTTTTCCACGTATACCAATTGCATACATTTTCATCAAGGTTCTTCTATTTCTGTCGATAAAAAAAGCTGAAGAAAAAAGAATTCATTTTTGTTATAGATGATGTTGTGAGGTTAATTGAGAGACCATTACTGAAAGCGTGTACAAAAGATTTTGATATTTCCTATTTGACCGATATAGTAGAAAATTTTAAATGACAGTTGAGTCATATATACTCACACGGCGTTTTATCAATTTCCAGCAGTGGTGATAAGCAAGTTCCGTGTGTGTCCTGGAAGAAACAATATCTGTATAAATATTGAATGATAAAGGCGCCATAAGATTTCCTACTCGTGTTGAAAACTCAAAGTAATTGCTTTCAAAATGTAAACAGTTTTCCTGGACCTTGATAGTTTATTTCATTGAAAAGTTGATGTATATATAATCAAGTACCATACAATAGCTTCATACTGTATGAACCATAAGATTTCTTACGCCTGTTGAAAATTTCAAGGAAACTAATTGCTTCCGAATTGTGCAGAATTTTGCTGCACCTTGATATTCAGTTTCGTTAAAAAGTTAGGAGAGAGAACTTTTTACTCCACACTGTTTCATTAAGGACAAAACACAAGCACTACAGGAAAATCCTCAAGGCGCTCTTAGAGCGGTGTCTGTGTGAAAGTAGCGACATTGGATTTGAATCGCTGGAGATTAAATCAATTCGGAAAATCGTTCTCAGGATGTTTATTCCATGAATTTTACTAGTTCGGACTTCCATTGTCTACTATATAAAATGATTTGAAATCCCTGAAACAACTAAAAGAGAAGAATTGAAAATGAATAGCTGAAAATAACAATTATATTAACCAAAATGAACCTGAAATGAAATAATAGTAAAATAGAATAGAAGTAAATATAACAAGTAAAATACAAGATGGAAAATCAGAGAACAGCTGGATCGAGAACCACTTCCAACATCTAACATCAGCAATGAAGAACGGCCGACGTAGAGAAAACACCATCAAGATCCTACCTGCAGATAAAGGAAACGCTACTGTGGTAATGGATACCATACTCTACGAACAGAAGATCGAAGAGGTTCTTCAGAAGGTAAAATACACAAAGATCGTACGGGACCCTACTGCATCAATCGAAAGGAAGTTGTACCAGATTTTGAAAAAACACCAAGTCTATTTTTCGGACAAGAAAAGATCTAAAAGATGCGGCTAACACCGCACCACAGTAAGCCCCCTCACTTGTATGGACTACCCAAAATCCACAAGAAGGACGTTCCGTTCAGACCGATCATCAGCTCTAGAGATTCGGCTACTCAGAACTTGTCTAGATTTTTACTTCCCTTAATACAACCATTACAAGGAAAAACATCGTCTTTTGTGAAGAATTCAAGGCATTTTGTCGAACTACTAGGGTCAATTGAGGTTACACAGGAAGATCAATTAATTAGTTTCGACGTGGAAAGCCTTTACACCAACGTTCCGGTCGAAGAAGCACTCCAAATCATACAGAAAAAGCTATCCGAAGACGGGAACCTGAAAGAGAGAACGAATCTACCTTTTCAATTTCAATTTTCAATTTATTTCAACAAGAACAAGAACAAAACCAGTTATTACAGTTATAGAAGTAATCATGGAATTACTAGAATGCTGTGTACGAAACTGTTATTTCCAACTGAAGGACAAATTCTTTACACAAGATGAGGGACTGCCAATGGGATCGCCACTCTCACCAGTCATAGCCAACCTATTATGGAGTGGTTTGAAACTCTGGCCATTGAAGAAGCCCACAAGAAACCTCGAGTCTGGTTGAGATATGTTGACGACACCTTCATAATATGGAACCATGGAAATACTGAACTAGACGCCTTCCTGAAACACATTAACAGCGTGAGACCTTCCATCAATTTCACAATGGAGAAGGAAATCCATAACGAACTGTCATTCTTAAACGTTTTGGTGAAGAGGACCGACACTAAGTGGGAAACATCTGTATACCGAAAACCCACTCATACGGGATAGTATCTGAACCACGAATCCAACCACTATCAATCGACTAAAAGAGGAATCATCAAGACTCTATTAGACCGTCCTTTTGGGCTTTGTAATACGAAGGAAGGCTTCGAGAAGAAACTAGACATCATCAAAAATGATCTTCAACGGAATAGCTACTAAAGCGATGGTAGAGAAGACTTTGGCTAGGAGACAGCAGGAGCCTCGCAAGGAAGAGAAGCCGTCACAACCAGTGCTTGCACTACCCTACATCAGAGGAATATCGGAGAGGATAAGAAGAATTGTTTCCAAGTACAACATCAGAACCTGCTTCAGATCCGGTAACTTTATCCGAAAACCAGCCTCACGAAAACCAGGCCACCAAACGCGGACTGAGATTCCAAGAATTGCATTTACCGGATACCCTGTGAGTGCGGAAAATCCTATATTGGTGAAACTAAGAGGCCATTGAATGTTGGCATTGCCGAGCACAAGAAACACACACAGCGGGGGGAAACCAGCAAATCAGGAATAGCCGACCATGTTTGGACCCATCAACACAACATCGAGTGGTCCCAAGCTGAGATCTTGCACAGAGAGGAACATTGGTTTAGGAGAAAATTCAAGGAAGCCGCATACATGTTTTCCAACAACGTATTCAGCCAAGCCAGCGTAGAAATACGCAACATATGGAAACCCATCATCAAGCGGAAATTTTCACTATTATTTCATTTCAGGTTTATTTTGATTAATATAATTGTTATTTTCAGCTATTCATTTTCAATTCTTCTTTTTTAGTTGTTTCAGGGATTTCAAATCATTTTATATGTTAGACAATGGAAGTCCGAACTAGTGAAATTCATCATGAAACATTGTCAATCACCTTCAAACAAACATGTTTACTCCACATAATCGTAGTTCTCCAGATGAAAGAGTTCTCAAACAGTAAAGTTCGAGGTGTACTGGGTCGAACCTCAAAACAATAAGCAATCACAGTCCGTCGCAATCACTTGAACAATTTCCGTGAAAGTACCTATAAAAGAGAGACAAATAACCAACCTTTCTTCGGTCTTCCAGGCTATCAAGGTTGCACGTGATGTACGCGTCTCCAATCACGCGAATGGCTCTTCTCTAGATGGAATCCAGCAACTTCAGGGTATGTTTGGGGGGCAGAGCTCTATACATGAGAACAATACTCCAAAGAAGCTCTGATCTGAGCTTCATAAAGCATCAAAAGTTGCTGAGTTGTGAACAGTTTTCTGGTTCGGAACAGTGTTCCAAGCTTTTGAGAAGCAGCCTTTGCATCTCCAGCAACATGATTGTGCCAAGACATATTGGTGTCCATTTTAACCTTCAACAAACTTATCGAAGCAGAAAGAGGAATTGTCTGACCTGACAGTATTATATCCAGTACGGAGACATTTATCTTCTTGTAGAAAACCGATGCCTGGGTTTTTGTGGCATTGAATTGAATCTGGTTACTTTCTCCTCAATTCGAAATCACTTCTAGATCCTTATTAAGATATGCAACCTCCTGCTGCCGGTGAAGATGTGCCTCCGTAGCCGATGAGATTCTTCTTATGAAGAATTACGAATAATAATTCCAGTGGCGCCACACGGGGTTGCCTTATTGATATTTATGGTAAAAATCATTGTACGCCACCTTTTTTCTCCAAATTTTATATTTTTATAGAATTATGCATAATTTTAACGTCATACGTAACATCCCGGGAATCTTAGAACGCGTGCGTTACTGGATGAGGAGAAGGTGATTGACAATGTTTCATGATGAATTTCACTAGTTCCGACTTCCATTGTCTAATATATAAAATGATTTGAAATCCCTGAAACAACTAAAAAAAGAATAATTAAAAATGAATAGCTGAAAATAACAATTATATTAAGCAAAAATAACCTGAAATGAAATAATAGTGAAATAAAATACAAGTAAAAATGGAACGATTGAACAAAAAATAAAGAAATATAAATCCAAATAAAAAGTTAAGAGATTCCAAGCCACGTTAGTTCATGACGTTTCGATTGTTAGTACTACAATCATCTTCACTATTATTTCATTTCAGGTTATTTTTGCTTAATATTTATATTTGTTATTTTCATGAATTCATTTTCAATTCTTTTTTTTTTTAGTTGTTTCAGGGATTTCAAATCATTTTATATATTAGACAATGGAAGTCCGAACTAGTGAAATTCACGATGAGGAGAATATTTGATGCTTGTATTGCAAGTCAAAATTCTCATCTTGAGCATCTGATTTAATTATTTCTCATCATTACCAATGCTGTACTCCGAGTAAAATACAAACTAACTAGCAGTTTGTATAAGTATTCCATCTACATTGTCTAAAAATGCCCTGAAAATCAATATTTCATTATTTAAAAATTCTGGATTACGTGTACATGTTCAATAATTTTCATCTTGGTGTAACTCATATTACCAAAGGAAATAATAATTCGATTTCATATTGTTCAGGAGTTTTCCAATAATTGACTGAAAAAAGTTAAATAAAAAAATTATTGTTCAATTCAATGATGATCATCAAATCATAATTATTTAAATGTTTATTTTTTCTCATTATTAAAAGTTGTTATTGATTTTTACTTGAATATTTTTATCAACTTCCTCATACCAGAAGGTGAATGAAATATTGAAATTTCCATCTATGCTATATGTTTCATAACTAATTAGTTTTGAAGTATCTTAATAGGCCCAGTATTGAAATATATATTGAGTTTTGAAAGATATCGTAAACAAACTCACTTGGTATGTAGAATGTCCATCACTCTCTAGTACGTCTTCGTTATGTGATTGAACCGGTTGATCAGATGAACATTCAGAATCTGCAGTGGAAATATATATTAGTTTCCACTTATAATATATAGGAAACTAAAAATAACCCGTATTAATTTTCGCAGTAACACATTTCATTTCTGACTTGATGGAAATTTCCTGGTGCGGATCAAAAATAGGAAGGTGTTTTTTTATAGGTTCATATTTTGAGGTGTTTCAGTGAAAATAGTTGGTAAAATGAGTTTGATTTGAACACTCAAAAAATATTCCAACGTGGAAACTGTTTATTTCAACGTGTTTCCTGTTGTGACAAGAGACGGAAGATACAAAGGTAAATATACTATACTATATTCTATAGGTAATTTTAAAACAAAATGTTCATATAATGTTCGCAAATCCTTCGTTCTCAAGATACAGGGTGTTGAAATAAATAAAAAAAAAAGATATTCGTAAATATCTTAAATATCCTTCACCTAATTTTGTTGTAATTTGGCAACGGTATTTATAACATCAAGGAGCTAATTTAGCCCGAACTTAATTGAATTTATTAAGTCCAGTGGCGTCTCGAGCGGGATTTTAACCAATATTTTTGACTTAAAAATGTACGCCACTGACTTTTGTGCAATTTTTATTATTTCTTTGGATTGAGCAATTAGAAATACAACTATTTTGTATATTGAATTTTTTCGTATCTTGCTTAGTTTTTAAGAAAAAAAAGTCGACCTGATTGCATAACCCTGGACCTTACAAGGAACAATGTGAGGAATTGAATGTTTCTTTTGGAAATTATTGAACAATTTTTCATTACTAATTATGTAACAATAACAACAAATATTAAATAACATTAACATCTAGACTAACGAATTGCACTCCTTCGGCTTCAATACAACCGTCTAGCCGCCGCATCATTGAATTTCACACTCTTCTGAAACTACCATAAATAATAATAATCAAGGGTTGCCTTGAAAAACGATTGCAGCATTTAATGAACAACTGGACAGTTCTTGTCAACTTTATAAGGTTTTAATTCAGTCACAGTGTAGCAGATTTTAATAGCCCAGCAGCTATATCCCTATCACATGCAACGTGTGCAAGCTCTATTGCCCAGAGATTTGCCTGTAAGACTAGCTAATTGGTTACGCAGTAAAATAAAAAAAATCCAGGTTTCCTAAGTCGAATATTGTTTACAGATGAAGCTTGTTTTTCTCGCAATTCAATTATTAACTTCCACAACAATCACATTTGGACCGAAAACAATCCACACGCCTTGATACAAAATGATTTTCAAGAACAGTTTTCTTTTAATATTTGGGTTGGAATTGTCGGTGACCATCTCATTGGGCCTCACTTCCTCCAACCTAGACTTAACGAAGAAGAATACCGAAAGTTTTTAGAATTTGTTTCACCTGGACTTTTAGAAGAAATTCCAGTCATGGAAAGATTCAGTATGTGGTGTGGTGTGGATTCAATAAAGTGTGGTGGTGCACGATGGTGCACCACCACACTTTAGTGTAGTGGCACGGCAATTTTTGGATGAAAATTACCATAATCACTGGATTGAGAGAGCAGGGCCACACACATGCCCACCTCGCTCGCCCGAAATGAATCCCTTAGATTATTTTCTCTGGGGACACCTTAAAGCGTTGGTAAACAACACTGCTATTCAAAGTGAAGAGGATTTACGGAATAAAACATTAATTCATATGACATAATAAAAAATACGGCAGGTATTTTCAGAAGAGTGCGAAATTCAATGATGCGGCGGCTTGACGGTTGTGTTGAAGCCAAAGGAAGCCATTTCCAACACTTCATTTAGTGCAATTCGTTAGATTAGATGTTAATGTTATTCAATATTTGTTGTTGTTGTTACATAATTAGTAATGAAAAATTGTGAAAATAATTATTTCCAAAAGAATCATTTAATTCCCCATATTATTTCTTGTAAGGTCCATGGATATGCAATTAGGATATGCAAGAGACAAAAAAGTTGTATTTCTAATTGCTTTGCTCTAATTGCTTTGAGGTACCAAAAATTTAATATAACTGAAAATATACATAGATGTTATATGAACATAGATATAGAAAACAGTACCATTCTTCAAAATATTTGCTATACGCGGGCACCGAACACCTTTGCTGATGCCCTACATGGGTTATTTTTAGTTTATTGATGAACGGTACATAATTTTCCATTTCTATATATGAAAGCATTCTTACTTTTAAATTTGACAGACTGGCGACCATGTCGTATACTTTGCTTACAACGTACACTCTGTTTACTTTTAGTGCTATCTCTTGTGTTATTTCCTTTTCCTTCTTGTAATCCGTCAGGAACTTGTACGGTGTCTTGCTTGTAGTCACCTTCAATTTTTTTCGTCATGAATTTTGCGTACGCAACTCTTGCTGTTCTTGGAATTTCCGAGAGTTTTGGATTATATTCTGGAAACAAAACAAGTATAAAAATGTGCGATAGAACTAATCGATACTTGGTGAGAATCCCTTATAACGTATTCAAAAAACACATTTTGATGTGAGATTTCTACTCGAATTTACAAAACCGCGACAAGTTTCTCGCTATACAATAGCCAAAGATGGTTTCAATAAGGAATTTGTTGCCATTTCCCATACTGACATTAGATATTGAATAGCTCCTAATTATGGAAACTATTTTTCTTCTTATCGTTTCAGTATGTTGTCTGTAAGATACATTTTCATCTAGAACAAGACCACAGAAATTTAGCACTAGGAGAGTATTCAATATTTTCATTATGGAATTGAATTGGATCTATTGAATCAACTGACGTAGACCTTTTTGATATGAACGTATATAACAAATTTCTGCAAAATCAGTGACATTTTATAGCATTTTATAGCTATAAAGATATTTGATAAAGGTCTTTCGAAATATTAATTTCAATTTATTGTATACTATTTCCATCGTGAATTGAAGTGGTGTCATCGGCAAAAATTTTTAATTCACCAAATAAGTTTACTGTAGCCGAATAATTCACATATATAAGAAACAAAACAGGTCCAAGTATTGATCTTTGCAATACCCCACAATTTTTTTGTAACTAATTATGTCTCCCACATAGACATATTGCTCACTATACAATATTTCATTTTGATAATAGAATACATTCAATAAGATTTGGAGCATTTTTAATCGATTCACAAACAATCATGTAGATTCCCTTACTCATTATATTTTTCTTTATATTCATAATAAATTTGGTGTTCAATCAGGAATATCATGAATATATGATTTGTCTGTTTTTCAAATTACAAAACACACTGTCATTACCTATCAGTTTTTCATCGTCCAGTTTAACATGCGTTTTGACGTTGCTCAGAATGTGCCTTCTCAAACTCTGCCTCTTGTTTATGGTGTATTCAAATTCTTGAGCTGTTCCAATGGGATCACTGGTAATATTACTATTTTTCACTAGAGCATTCCAATCTTTCTTCTTCGAAGTCGTTCTTCGGCCGATAACTTTTGCAATCTGGCCAAAAACGTTCTTTGGTTCATTGGGACTCATAGACATTTCTTGGACGAGGCCTTCAACTATGCCGATGTGGAAGTCCTTCAGAAGACGCCTCTCCATCACCTTTCCTTTCTTTCCAGATACTGAAATGGTAAAAAAAACTAACACGGTAGCCTCAAAAGCTTGGAAATCATTCACAATTCACAATTACTCAACAAGAAGGGAACATTTCTGTGCAAAAACACCCTTTATCTTTATCTGTCTTTATTGACTTCTGTAATAAATCTTCGGTAGCTTGTGATGCACTATTTGGAACCTTCGGTGTAGAAATGAATATTACTGCAGTTTTATCCCAACACCAAACCGTTATTTTAACAATTCGACACGTGTTTCGATCACCAAGTGATCATCTTCAAGATGAAGATTGAACACTTCGGTAGCTACAAGCAAGGTATAATATATGTAAATTTAAAAAGGCCACTTCTCAAATTATCATTCTTCAAAATAATATATGGAATGGGACATGACAACTGGCAACATAACCTAGTTGTTTGTCTTTATTCGATACTTCTTGTACGATTATTGACAAGATAAAACTTGATTTGTTTCATAGTTTCATCTGGTAATGGTTGGAAATATTTGATAAAAAGGTTATCGAATGATTAAACAATCAAACTTAGAGATTTAACATCAGGCACTCAAAGTATTGAAGACAACAGTCAAATTTTTTGACACGAATATAGTTGGAACGTGATAACTTACAATATGAAATGCTACTTGGGAATTCGATCTGAAATATGATCGTTTGATCTTTGGTTCGCCTTACTAAATGAAAATAACTCAATATAGTGATATGCCATTAAAATTGGAAGGAGTGTTCTTTATACTATATTGTGCAGCAATCCTCTGAATAATATCTGATTCGATTCCATAACGAATGTTTGGAATGTTTTGGAGTACAATGTAACACAATGTTGAGGTCATTATTTTCAAGAGGAAAATCTTTCTCTTGAAGATGAACCACTTGGTGATCGAAACACTTGTCGAGGTGTTAAAATAACGGTTTGGTGTTGGAACAAAACTCCAGTAACATTCATTACTACACCAAAGGTTCCAAACAGTGCATCACAAGTTCATATGAAAGTATTTGTTTCGAAAGACCCTTTTCTCTCCAGTTTGTGAGTGAAAGTTACTTCTTTACATGATCCACACATTTTTGTAGAGAGTTAATTTTGAAATTTATTGCTTTCTTCCTTTTATTGTAAGATTCCCACATTTTTTGTATAAATATGAAACCTTTACTTCCCAAAAAGCAATTCTACCTTGTACATCTTGGAAATTAATTTGTGGAGTTCTCATTCCATTCTTCCTCAAAATATCTATGAGTTCGTATCTGAGGCTTGATATGTCTTGTCTTATTTCCATGACGTCATCTTCAGTAATTCCGTAGTCATCACGCTTTCTCTGTTCTGCAGTGACGTATCTTCTTATAAGTAACTTCATTACTGTCTCGTGTTTTTCGCGTGCCTTCTCCCTTGATTTCTCCTAGAATAATAATTTTGAAACAATTGAGGAAACGTGAAAGATATTGTGATCAATGAAATAAAACATGTTACAGTCTGTAACTCAAAAAAAGGTTTTGAAGTTTTTTGAACGCTGTCATGGTATATTTGTTCCATGTTTTTATTCAAATTCATATGTACGTTCAAAACCTTTCTTTCCCAGTAATATTATATCATTACTATTATCATTATTATTGCCATTGATTAGAATGGGAATCCTATTCAAGGTGTGTGTGTGTCGGTTGGTAGCCGGTCGGTTCGACGTGAGTGCTTTGTTCATTCACTCAAATGACCACCGTGTTAGTCGGTGGTTCAAACCGCTGCAGCGGTAAAAGCACCTAAAACGTGGCCAAAAATAAATTCTCACTTCTTTTAAATGTTATGGATAAAAATTGACATATTGTGATATTATTAATAAACAAAAGACAAATCAATAAGGAAGATAAAATAAAATATTTTTTTGTATGGAAGAAAAAAGTTTTATTACATAAGACATAAAATTAAACAAAGGCAAAACATTATAACAAATAAATGAAACTACAAAAAAATATGGATCTCATTAGCATAGTCAACAGATTTCACTTCAACATAGGTTTTAATGAATATTATTCCTGAGGGCTGTCATCCAATTTAAAAAACTGCTTAGCCTCAGCACTAAAGTTGCTTTGTTTTTTTTCCGCCTCATGCTACTAAGATATGATCCGAAGTAAGCAAAAGTCGATTAAGTATAATATCTTCGTTGCATTCTCTTCTGGAAACACTCTCTCTGTACCATCGTCCATAGATATTCCAATGTTTATTTCGAGCTTCCGCAGCTTCTTCCAATAATTGTCCAATCGGTAACAAGGCATGAGATTTAATGCTTGATGAGTGGACCAATATTTTGTGTATTGTAGGCGACATAGGTTGTCAAGAGTATAAATTTATGTACATTTCTGCTGTACTCTTGGCGAAGCCTGACGATTTTTCTAAGTTTATTTCAAAGCCAGATGACAAAACCTCCAATATTGTTTTGTATCTTTTTATCAATTCTATGTTGATGCCCGTTATTGAAGCTGCTTCTTCAGCGTTCTAGAAGAATCTTCGTGAAGTGTTACCGTCATTAGTATTGCCATACCCAACCTTAGGAATATCCACGAGTAATCCCAACTTGTCTTTGAAATCTTTTTGATTTTGTTTCTTTGCATTTTTGTCGTTCACGTTTATATACCACTTTAAAAGTCTTAACGACTTTTTGAAGTTTATCAGTTTTTTTCCAGGGGGCACTTGGTTATTTCAACCAATTTTTCTTCCAAATCCTGGAGCTTTCTGTCAAGTAGTCGCTGTGGACTTGCTCTAACAAGCTCGTGTAGTTTTTTTCTTGTCATAGATATAACAGAAGGTCCACAATCTGTAACAATTGATAAAATATCACTTGTAACTATAATTCTGCGTAAATTTCAACAGAAACATTCTATGAAATGTTTAAAATGTCCATGATTGCTGAAGAATGACGAAAAATACAAGTTTTTTTTTATACAAATGATTTTACACTCTATATTCGAAAATAAAGCCTATTAAATAAAACTTACGTATATTAAAATGTAGTACATACCTTGAACAAAAATATCCATAGCAATTTTTTTCACCAATATAACACAAATTATAAATTGATAAATAAGCAAACAAATGTGATTTAAGGGGTTATTTAAAGCAAACACATGCGTAGTGAACAAACGCTAGGTTTCAACTGCTCTCATGTCACAAATAATGGACATACACAGGTAACGATCTTAATGTCCATTATTACCTGTGACAATTGAAATTGACAAATTTCATTTATGGCCAGGTTTTAGGTGATTTTACCGCTCTGTGCGCTGGCTGAACGATCGATTTACACTTGCTATCATCCAACCCGTGTCAGGAATCACACGTTAGCTTGTACAAGTTTCGACTTTTGAAGATTGTCGTTCATATGGGTGCGATGGCTGGTTACCGGAAAAACATATTTTAAAACATATATTCAAAACATATTAAATCGCTACGTCATTTTGTGTTCTCACCCTGAAGCTCTTAGTCCGTATTTGTCCTACACCACACCCCATCTTCCTGAATAAAGTTTTTGGAGATGGTAAAATATTGAAAGGCGCTGGCAAACTGTCACCATCTTCAAAGTAATTCACCCACAGACGACTCCTGGCAAATTTCCACTCGGTATCCGATCTTTCCTGAAGTTATTCAAAGTTGAAAAATATGAACCAAACTAAATCAGACGGGAAATAGATTTTGTCAAGAGCCGTCGTTCCTATTTCATGTACACCTCTTCAAGATTACAAAAGCAATTCCCCGCATAAGGTTTAGTTTGAACTAGTTTAGTTACCGATAATTATTAATTATAAGAATAAAATAATATGTAGAATTCATACTTACAGTAAAAATGAGTTAAAAACAATAAAGTTACCGATATAATCTGATAAGAGTTGGACATCATGGCAATCAGCATATTGAGTAGAACAATTATATTGATAACCGAGTAAGATCCGAACATCAAGAGAGCCCAGAATCTCGTGAAACCTTTTATTCCAGTTAGGTCAACGGATATCAAGTCCACCAATCCAAAACTGGCCCAGAAAAGTGACTGCGAAGTTTCGAATAAACTGGAAAATGAAAATTATTGGAATGTGATTGCACTTTTCGGGTTTTCAGGGCTTTTTCACAATCGACTGATGAAATAAGGAAAACTGCCATTAACCGTTTTACTTACTTGGCGTATCTTCTCCAAATAGCGCAAGCTTTATCAGCTCCCTCGAAATCAGGAAGACCGTTTGGAAGATGGAAACATTTCTTTTTCTCCAGTTCGGCATAGTACCAGAGGAGTTGATTCATTCCTGAAAGCGTACATTTTTTAAGTTGCTCAATAAATAAGGTCATCTTTGTATGTGTCCGCGTTTTTTTCCTGAGTAATCTAATCCTTACTTTCAAATTCATTCAGAACTCGAATGCATTCGGAGAATGAACAGTTGAAATATCCTAGCTTATAGTTCGTAGATACCTTATTTAGTCTTGAAGTTATGTCATATCAGGTAGGTAGGTAGGTCTAAAGTGAGTTGGTCTATTCGACCCTCCACCGCTCACACCTATTCACACTCGGCCAAATAAACCCAGCTTCTTAATGAAGCCGATTAGTTTGTATGGTGAGTGGTCTTTCAGGTCGATGTTGAGAGTACGGATTTGCCGAACTCAAAGAACCTGATTCGGTCCCCAGCGGGGCAGGCACAAAGTATATGCTCTGCAGTTCCATCATTTTCCAGACAGAGGCGACACACACTGTCTTCCGACAGTCCAAGTCTCTGCATGTGATGATTCAAATGACAGTGACCTGTAAGAAGGCCTGTTAGACATCGTAGTTCATCCATACTGTAGTCCAACAACTGTTTGGAGTCAAGCTTCAAAGGGAGTGAGCCAATCCTGGAAGATTCTGCCAGAAGTCCATAACTCTCCTTGCCATCCAGGTGTTAAGTGTTTGTTTGGCAAAGCCCAAAGCGATGCCAATGACAGGTTCTGGTCCAATGAAGCCGCTTGCAGGACCCTTCATTGCCGTCCAGGCCAGTATGGCCAGGAATCCAGACCAGAGACAATCTGTTTAGAGAATATTTTTATTGATTTGGTAGTGGGGTTGGATTTATCCAATCTCTCCGCACACAATTCAACAGAGTAAATTTCCGCTTGAAATACAGTCGCATAAGTTCCCAGGCAGGTGGATAACTCGGTCCTGGGTCTGCGACTGAAAAAACCTGCACCAGAACCGAAAGGTGTTTTTGATCCATCCCGCAGGATCCAGTATTCTCTACTCGGGAATAGTACTTTATAAGGCAGTTCGTAGTTGACAGTTGGAGGCATAAAGTCAGAGGTCATTTCCAAAATGCTGTGTTTTCCAATGTCAACCAACATTCTGTTACACTCTGCATTGAACTGATTTGTGGGGATGCATATAATGCTACCCTCCTGATATGTCCGTCCAGTATCCTCTCAAGTCCTTTCAGCAGGAAGGGTGTAAGGCTGATTGGTCGTACCGATTTGGGGTGTGGGTCTCTCCGGCCCACCCTTGCTGCCTACCAACTGGGTGGTATACAGTTCCACGCCAGGCTAGCTCTATACAATTTTGTGAGAATAGGTAAAATTATGTCCAGTCCGTTTTGAAGAAGAGCTGGAAATATACCATCCTCTCCGGGAGATTTGAAGGGCTGAAGAGACTTGATAGCCCATTCAACTGCTGGCGCTGTGATAACTTTTTTTGCGACATCCCAGTTATTTTTTTTTGGGCGTTTAGCGCCTTCGAAGATGAGCGATTTGTTGTTATCAAGAGTCAGATTTCCAGGAAAGTGGTTTTCTATCAAAAGCTCTAACGTTTCTTCACTAGTGGTCGTAAATGTTCCATCGGGTCGTTTAAGCGACCCAATTTCAGCAGTCGGCTCTCTAGAGAGAATCTTGCGAATTCTTGCGCTGCGAGGTAAATCAGAGATACTCTCACAGAACTTCCTCCAAGACTCTCGTTTTGCCTTTCTAATTTCCTTGTTGTATGATGTTACAGTGGTTTTATAAAGCTCCCAGTTACCTGACTCTTTAGCTCGATTAAATAGTCGTCGAACTTCTCTTCTTTTATTTTTAAGGCTTTTGTTCTACCAAGAAGAGTTGCAGTTACCTTTTTTGACCCTCAGTAGACAGTTCTCATGATAGGATGAGATCACTGCTTCGCGAAATTGCGTCGCTACTGTATCCATATCATTACAACTGTGAATAGTACTGATTCCGTCCTCAAAGTACGATTGGAGCGAGTTTTTATACCTCCTCCAGTCAGTAGATTTTGTGTCAAAATATTCCACTACTGGTCTTAGACCTGTTTCAATATTGAAAAGAATATATCGTTGGTCTGAACAAGAAGGTACAGTAGATACATATGTCATATTAGGTTTGAAAATGTATTTTGATTATTTCAACTCATTATTCAATGTTTGACAAAACGACCAGAGCTGTCAAAAATACTGTTTGTTCTCGTTCAAAATATTGAGATGATAATGTTATAACTCATCTCCTGAAAAAAAAAATAACGCAGGCCGCCGCTGGTCTTCTTCAATCGATTTTGACATGGCCAAGGTCGAGCTCAACTCGACTTGCGCTTCGCGATTGTTCTAGATGTCGCGTGGCTTCCAAAGACTTCCAGAGACATTTCTATCGGCTTCTAGAGACTTCCATTGCGATATATAAACACTACCAACAAGCAGAATGGGAAATTTTAGTTGAAAGTGCGGTACGAAGTGATCTATTGATGCCATTTGTGTTGTATTGTCAGTGTAGCAGTGAAATGAAGTTGAGTTTAATTGTATAGTATAGTGAATTAATGTCAAATTCACAAATATAACGTAACAATACTGATACTATAAACAATACAAAACTAGGGTGAATAAAGTTGTTGGACTCAAGATTTTCGCCCTCTTTAATCCTCAGTCGAACAAGTTTCGACTTCTAAGGATGAACGTGAGGTGGAGACAGCTGGTTATCGGGAACGTACATTGTGATACAATTATTTTCTTCAACAAAATGACGAATGACTAATTTTGGCAATTTAAATAACAAATATATTCTTGTCAGATGATGAATATTTTCATATTTCATGTTGTCTACTTGAACATGTACCCAATATAAACTGATACTCACCACAACCAAATGCGAAAAGTACCAAAGAATAAATGAAGAAAAATTTCACTATGTCGATTATCATCCGCCCTAGTGATATTTGCAAGGGTCCTAAATGGGGGTTCACACTGAATATGTGGACTAGTTTCAGGAAGCTGAAATTAATCGTTATTATCAAAACATTTTCGAAAAATAACAAATTATTCAGGCAGATAATATACAGGGTGTTAATTAGAAAATTAATCACTCTCATATCTACCATATAGAAAACATGAATAATCAGAAAGACACGCTGATTTTATTTTCAAAAACAGTTTCAACAAATATTTTGAGCTTCTTCGATTCGACGTTCTAGAGCTAGAGCTAGAGTCTCGAATGGGAAATAGACCAAGTGGCATATCATTTTAAATGGTTTGTTTGAAGGTGATTGACAATGTTTCATGATGAATTTCACTAGTTCGGACTTCCATTGTCTACTATATAAAATGATTTGAAATCCCTGAAACAACTAAAAAAGAAGAGTTGAAAATAAATAGCTGAAAATAAGAATTATATTAACCAAAATAAACCTGAAATGAAATAATAGTGAAATAAAATACAAGTAAAAATAGAATAATTGAATGAATAAAAATAAAGAAAAGAGAAACGAAAATAAAAATAAAAAGTGGAGAGATTCCAAGTCACGTTAGTTCACGACGTTTCGATTGTTAGTATCTACAATCGTCTTCGGGTGATGACTGGACTGATTCCTCCGGAAGATGACTATTTATAGGTCGTTCGAGTACTTTCACTTATCCCCGCTTTCCATTTTCCGCTTCACTGGTTCCGTGAGAGATGACCGTTTTAGCGGGAGTTGGCCATTTTTTGCTTGATGATGGGTTTCCATATGTTGCGTATTTCTACGCTGGCTTGGCTGAATACGTTGTTAGACAACATGTATGCGGCTTCCTTAAATTTTCTCCTATACTAATGTTCCTCTTTGTGCAAGATCACAGCTTGGGACCACTCGATGTTGTGTTGATGGGTCCAAACATGGTCTGCTATTCCTGATTTGCTGGTTTATCCTCGTTGTGTGTGTTTCTTGTGCTCGGCAATGCGAACATTCAATTTAGTAGACAATATAGTAGACAATGGAAGTCCGAACTAGTGAAATTCATTTCAAATGGTTTTTATTTCTGCATTTAAAAGTTATAGAGGCAATTACAATTTTCGTGTGGTCGAAGGTATAGGTCTTTTGCTAGATCAGAAAAATGTATATTTAAAAGTACTGTGATAGTGAAATTATGATTTTGATCCATTCGCATTTATTGAAAGGTGGATTTTCAATTTGTATAGCTACAATTGCAAAGATAACCTTCTATTTTGATCATTCTTCAAAAAAATATTCAAAGTCGCCCTTTTCAAGCAAATTATTGTTTCACAAATTCCAATGACTCATAATACTCTTTGTGCTGTTCAGTCATGAGTAAAAATTGACATTTTTTCAATTCAAAGAAAGATTGGAAGGCACTTTTTGATGAAAGGAATTCCAACCTTGATGTAAGTTAGTATATTATTAATTTTGGTGACAAAGTTTCACAAAACTGATTCGATAAAAAAAAGTAACGTACGAGTACCAAATAAAGCAACTGAAATTGCTGTTTTACGAATATTGTCACGTGAGACAGTAAGATAAGTAAGGAAAATACATAAATTTCATCTTTATAAAGAGCGAATGTTTAATTTTTTCGATTTGAATCATAAATAAAGGAAGCATATTGCATTCGACACATTTCGCTGGGCTGGTTATCTGGTGACATATGTTGTTCAAAAATCAATATGTTGCATATCATGACTACATAAAGTTATTCACATACAGGATGTTTCTTGAAACGATCAAGAGGTACTTACTAAACAGGTTTGTTAAAAGGGAATTTCTTTATAGGTAACATAATTCGATTCTCGAAGCTCTCATTTCTTAATGCAGTTTTCATATTTTTCAGTTGCTGTATTTTTAAAGTAAAAATATAAATTAACGGGAAATTTTTCAAGAGGCATAGGATTCAATTTTCAAAAAGACACAAAACATATGAAAAAATCGATCAAAACTTTATTGAAATCGATAGAACGATCAATATAATTTATTGTTTGAAGATGATTTCATGTAAATGTTATCCGCAAGGACCAATTTTGGCACACTCGACCGGTATTTCACGTATAAATGCTTCAATATTGGCTTCCAGAGCGTCAGTCGTTGCTGGTTTATCCCTGTAGATATGAGCCTTAACATGACGCCACAAGAAATAATCCGAAGGCGTTAAATCGCACGACCTCGGCGGCCAATTGACAGGCCCCAAACGTGATATAAACTGTTCACCGAAGGCGGCTCTTAATTGTTAATTGTTTCGCGTGCAGTGTGGTATGTGGCACCGTCTTGTTGAAACCAAATGTCGGGCATGTCAAATTCTTCAATTTTGGACAACAAAGAGTCGTCTATCAGCACACGGTAACGCTCGCCATTCTCAGTAACGTTCCGGACATTGTCGTCTTTGAAGAAGTACGGCCCGATGATGCCACCAACCCATAATCCATACCAAATAGTGACTTTATCGGGATGCATCGGTAGCTCTTGCAATACTTGTCGCTGGTCTTCACTCCAGATGCGGCAATTTCACTTGTTAACGTATCCATTCAACTAGAAATGAGCCTCGTCGCTGAACACAATTTTTCGATAAAAATGTGGATCTTCCTTCAACTTTGCCAGCGCCCATTCACCAAATGTTAGACTTTGTGGGAGTTCGTGTGTCTTCAATTCTTGCACCAGCTGTATCTTATAAGGTTTTACACTCAGATCCTTTTGCAAAATTCTCCACGTAGTGGAGTAACAGAGGCCCAATTGCTGCGAACGGCGGCGAATCGACATTTCACGGTCATCGCGAACACTGGCGGATACAGCCGCAATATTTTCTTCAGTCCGCACTCTACATATACGTGATGGAGATTTAATGTCCAATAATGTAAACTGGGTTCGAAATTTAGTCACAAGCTTCCGAATAGGTCCCTCATTAGGCCGACGAAACTGCCCATAAATTGGAAGAAGTGCACGATGCACTTTCTTCACCGAATATGAATTTCAATAATGAAATTCAAAAATTTTCAAGCGTTGTTCATTCGTAAGTCGATTCATGGTTAAATAATAGACCAAACTGAACAAGTTTGACAATGACACAAGACACGATTCACGCGTGATCTGTCAAAAACAGTGTTGCCAGTGTTTGCCAGCAAAAAAATCACTCATCACTAGCTGTTACTCGCTCTTATATTAACGTACAGCCAAAGCTACTGAACCTAGAATCTTGAAATATGCAGGTAGGTTCTTTGTATAGTAAAATAAACATTAAGAAACGTAATCAGGAATTTCCACCCCCAAAGGGGAAGATTGTACTCGAAGATTGTATTGAATTCGGTCAGTTTTGAAGTTGGAGACCTGAAATGTTGAGTTAATCAACTATTTCTTTGGAATAGTCTGTCACGAAACATAATATGACAAACTGAATTCTACACGGGCGAAGCCTCGGGCAACAAGTAGTCCACTATAGATATGTATGTTTCTTGGTGTTATCGAAAGATCATTGAGTTCTTCGTGAGAAATGGGAATCAAAACAATCAGGTAAACATTTAGATATTTTCAAGGGCTCCGTATAATTTGATGTATACATATGAAGAAGGTGCGTCCTCTCATTGTTTGTTTTAATTAATGCCGCTATCCTGTTAATCGTACACAGTGAGTCGACGTGTGCAATTTTCCGATGAAACAATTATTGATAGTGTTCCATCCCTTTCATTTTCCTCATTTCTTATTTACGTGTCGTGAACGATTATTTAATACAATGAAAAGTGTTTTTGATCCGAATAATAGTTTTTTGTGAGTGTTGCGTATGGAATGTATTTGCCTTGCAGTGGAGTTTATGCTTACAGCAAGTAAGTTATTATACTTTATCTGTGTTCAATATGCCAGGATTTGATTCAGTGAAAATTATCACATGATAGAAATACTATATGGGCTGAAAAGTATCGGGCCTAACACATAGATGGCGCTAGTCTTATTACATTCGGCGCTTTTTCAGTTAGTAATAACCTTCAAAACAAATCTGTTGGAAGTTCATGATATTATACTCATACGTTTGTGAGTAATTGTGCTAGACACAATTACTAGACCCACCTGGAACGCTCACTTGGAAAAAGTTTTACACAAAGACAGACTGTCTCTATGGACATGTCGGAGGATTTTTGGTTTAGGTCCCAAACAAATCCATTGGACTTGTGTGATGATTGTCAGACCAATGATCACTTATGGTGCAATTGCCTGGTGGTCGAAGGTTTTACAGAAAACGGCCCAAGCGAAGTTCTCTGGCTTACAGAGACAGGTTTGTCTGGCCGTCAGTGGTGCCATCGGTACCACACCATCAGCGGCCATGGAGATCCTTCTAGATCTACCTCCTGTCCATATTTTTCTGGGGGAAGAGGCTAGATGGACTGCATACAGACTTGTGCACATTCCCTATGCCACAAATCAATTAAATGCAGAGTGCAGCAGACTGTTGTTTGACACTGAAAGTCATAGAATTCTGGAAATGACCTCTGACTTTATGCCTCCAACTGTCAACTACGAACTGCCTTATAAAGTACTATTCCCGAGTAGAGAGGACTGGATCCTCCGGGAGAAGGAAATATTAAGAGCAGATAGTTGTTGGTTCACAGATGGATCAAAAACACCTTCCGGTTCTGGTGCAGGTGTTTTTAGTCGCAGACCCAGGACAGAGATATCTACCTGCCTAAGAACTTATGCGACTGTATTTCAAGCGGAAATTTACGCTATTGAATTGTGCACGGAGAGATTTGATAAATCCAACCTCACACACAACCTTTCAATGAAAATATTGTCGGATAGTCAAGCGGCGTTGGTAGCTCTTGGCTCCTACCAAGCAACGTCTAAATTGATAGCAAATTGCCGAAAACAACTCTTCTCGATAGAAAGACTCAACAGATTTTCTCTGGTCTGGATTCCTGGCCATGTTGGTCTGGATTCCTGGCCATACTGGCCTGGAAGGCAATGAAGCTCCAAAGGAGGATGCTGCAAGCAGCTTCATCGGACCAGAACCTGTCATTGTCATCG